GTACGCAATCGAAATCTGCATACATTCCGTTTGCAGGATGATGGCCACCGATGGTTAGAGACACCGAGTGATATGACTGGGTATCGCAAACAGTGGCGCTCGTGAATACACCCATTATTCTCTTTTCACTATTCTGTATGAATTTCTCATCTTCCGCTTGAATTTGCTTTCAACATACCAATCTTCATTCTGCTCTTTTATCCAAATGGGGCACCAAAAGACAGCAACCAAAACCGGCGCACGAAAGTGCAGGGATAATGGTTGTGAAAACTTGAGTGAACTGAACCATTTTGGTGTTTGTGATCGGCGTCACAGTCTTATCGTCTCTAAGGTTGACTAACATGCATACCAAGCTCCGTACGTGTCACGTACCCGCACTCGTTCCTGGATTTAGGCCTCCCCCTGCACGTACCGATGTTTGCCGAAATGGATGACTCTCTTTGCCGTACTATAGCGAATCAGGCACCTATGATTCTGGACCTGGTTATCGGTTTTACACGTTACGAATGTTTAATTGCGTACATTTATTTTATCACCCGTGGTTACTATTTCTGCTTTAAGAACACAATGTAGACGAACATGTTTTCTGCGAATTTATTTTCAAGCCTTTACAATCACATTCATATGAAACAATTTCAATAGGGTCAACCATAAAGGTGAATCAGTTATGTATTTGGCAATGAACTGTTCGGATCACGTAACCAAAACTCGCTATGTTACGTCTTGGTCACATGGACAAGTGATTTTCTCTTCCCTTGGCCAGGGGAGTTTGAGAGCTTGAATCAGTTTTCGTTGTGCGCAAAGCTCAAACTTCATGAATCGGATGCAAATCGCCTCTGCAGTTACCAATGTCCGAAACCGTATTGCTCTCGAGGGGTATGGCGAGACTTAACAAATGATTAGAAATGCCGAGCGCATGTCAACCATGTGTCCCATCTCGACCAGATGATCAAAGGTCGAGCTTGACACGGCTCCACTTCCACCGTGTGTGAGCCAGCTTGGATTGTGCTCTTTGATCCGTTGAGATAACTGCCTTGTCGTTTGACCTAGATAAGTTGCACCACAGGTGCACTTGAATAGGTAGACAATCATAGGTGAGGTCAGAAAGTTTTTTGTTTATCGGAGACTCAAGCTCTGCTTTCTCTGATCTGGTACAATTTTACACTTATTTTTTCAAATCTAATAATTTGTAATGCACAGAATGATTTTCTAAAACCATTCATTTCTTATATATCAGATACAAAATGCAACAACCACCAACAATGAACGTTCCTTATGTTATATCACGTAATAAAGCTGAAAAAACAGTCAAATATAGGACTCCTCAAGGAAAAGAAGTCTGTCTTACTCGGGAGGTGTATTTGCGGGATCAGGTTTCCTGTAAATGCTTGTCTTGCTCTGATGCAAAATGCAAAGAAGGTATGTAGTTCATTTTTATTAATTCCGTTTTTGTAGATGGCCGCTTTCTGCCCGCGGATATCCGTCTTTATTTGATTGTCGATGGATTTTACGCCCTGAATTACTGGGAGTTATTCGAATTTGAGGAAATAAAAGGCGTGATTGTGACATTGTCCACAGCTTATTATGTAGGTTGATTCATAATTCATACTTTATTTTGTCAAGGTACAACAACAGGCCGCAAATAAACATCCGTACAAGAAAATCCGGGCGGCACTTGATGATCCGTCAAGAACATGTGTTCTATTTGATAACGAGTTTCACCGTGCATGCTTCCATCCCCAAATGTCAAACGAGAGCATTCAAGACTACACCACACGAATGAACTGGGTCACAGCTTGCTGGTATCAGAAACACTTGGGAGTTGATGCTTCCGTTATTTTGGTAACAGATAACAAAGCGCTTGCTGGGGAATTCTCTGTCAAGTCGCCTGTCTCTGATACAACTTTAACACCAATGGTAACGTCTACGTATTAGTGTCCGGTGCAAATTGTTACACCGCGACCAACCTCATTAGGTTTTTGATACACTCCTTCATAGACATTTTTCTCCATTTCTTCTTCCTCGTACTGAATTTTTTCGGCATGAAGTAACCTCAAAAGCGCTGTTGGAAATGGAACTTGCTGCTTTTCCGAAACCAATATGGTCTATAGCTAGCAGTAGGGAATTACAGAGGGCTATGTACTTTTTTCAATTCATGACCACTTACGGGTAGAGTGCTGTGAAGTAACTAAGTCGTATTATTTCTCACAGTTCATATTCAAGTATCATAAATCTTCAGTGACCGGAAAAGAATGACTATGAGTTGGCAGACAAACAGGCCAACCGAGGGAGCAAAGTTCATGATAATCGTCAAAAGTGAGTGGACCAACATGCTTTGTAAAGTAGAAAGGATGAATTCAATGAACACTTAAACTCGGCTCGTGATTATGATCGAAAAGTTAAGCTCCCGTACTAATCATCACCATAAGCTGGCGGGACCTTTCGTGGTTCACCACTCCAAACCCCGGGGCTTAGGTTACCGTTTACCATAACTGAACAGCCGGTCGTCGTGACTATGAAGTCTGTCCCAAATGCTGTTCATCACACACTAGTGTGTGATAAAAAAATGAAAAAATACGGGACCCAACACCGGATACGGGGTCTGACGACGTTCAAACCAGACCAATCTCGCTCACCTATCGTGGTAGGAAACTCCACTACTGCCCGGTTAAATAGCCCATTTTCTACGATTTACTATCCTAACCACGTGGTGTAAAATCGTCACCTACTCGGATTCTGGCTTATAGAATTGTAACAATGCAGATTATTGAAATTTCAAGATGATTTAATGTACAATTTCGAGTTAAAGCGTATCAAATGACGTTTTCTTTGCACCAGGTTCTAACCCTACCAGAACTGTTGGAGACCTACTTTTCGGAGTTGACTCAAGCAAAACTTCTTTTCGAATCGTTAAAAGCGTCACTTGAGTCTCGTCCAGTGAAAGAATCATCACATAAACCACTGGATTCAACAGAGTCGGGGAATGAAGTCTCCAGTGGTGTTCCAGATATTCCTGCCGGTAGGTTTGTTTACTAAATGCACGAGAATGGTTGTTGTTATTGTCGTCAGATAGCTTGCTTTAAAACCAGATTTAATGTCGACTAAATTCAGTAGTTCGGTATTTTCAACTAGGACCTGATATTCCACACCGTGTTACTATAGACCGTTAATAGTTTACATATTGACTTTTTTTGTTTATAGGCCGATTCACAAATCATTCACCCCACCCCTTCTAGTTTGGCTATGTATCGTAAATGCTCAGGACAAATGTTTGTTGCCGCACAGATTTATTGATTGACTAAGCTTATTTCGTCCAAAATATCATACAGTTTTTCCAATAAATCACAATCCTAATCTTTGTTTTCTTCAGCCCCGCAACCCGGAAAAGTGTATCCAGATCATCTGTCCGAAGCCGCTTTGCTGGCTGGTCTCCGGTCGGGGCAATTTTTGCGAGGTATACTTCGTGTGTCCCGTTTTCGCGCAGGTGCTGAGGCAATGGTCACTTTGACTGAGTGAGTTTGTTTCTAAAAGAAGCATGAGCTTGTAATAGATTCCCAAGATGAAATGTTAACTTTGACTGCTCCTCGCTTAGTTGGTCGCTACCGTATCGAGTCTACTTGGTTACTGTTGTTGGTCACATGAATGAGATAGACGCGCGCAAAATCGCCCGCTCGTATTGGTGGGATTACCTTAGTTTTTTGGTTTTTCTGTATCCCCTTTCTCTCTGCAGTGTGCACCTTTCATTATTGTTCTTTCTGTCCCCCCCCCTCGCGCCCTCTTGTGCGCATCTCAGTGCCAGTACCGTGAAACATCAACCGGAACTAAAAGATGCTCTGGCCTCAAGAAGTGAAATTGCCGTGCACGGGATGCAATTGCGCAATCGGGCCATCGATGGTGATCTGGTTGTGCTTCGCCTATTGCCTCGCGCTCAATGGACAGCCGTGTCTTCCAATATCACTGCGGCCGAGAATAGTGAGTTCCTTAAAAGACCGTACAATCGATCAATTGACATTATTGGCATGTTCGTTCTCTTGTCGCCTAGATTCTTCATTGATTTTGTTCCAACTCTGAATGGTCAGAAGAAGGATACAGTGTTAGACAGTGGGAATAAGTGAAGTCGAATTCCGAATAGACGCGTTAATGTCGTGATTTAAAAAGAAACAGTTCGCGTATCGCATTCTGGTGTCTTCATTTTGTGCCGTAAATATACCATTAGAACAAACAAAGCATGAGCTGAAAAAGCTAGGAAACACTGGGCATCCATCATAATCATCGTACAGCGTAATACGGTGAAGCGAACTTCACGGATCGCTGCCAAACTCCCAATGCATACCAAATTAGTGGTAATATGTAGGGTGGACAGGGATATCCTCGGGTTAAGCAGAGTTAAATGCTACCAGGCGCGTTCTCCGGGTTGTGGATAAGGGGATACCTTCACCGAAGAAGGTTAGCTGTGAAGTTGTGGCATATCGTGACAAATAAGCAGTCGCGAACATACAGTTGCGGAATTACCAGGGTGTGATGGGTTTCAGGCTGGTCACCAGGCTCCTGTTTAAAAGCCGCATTAGCCCCATGACTGTGTCGTGACAAAGGTCAATGTGACGCCTTTTAAAACTAAAGTCATTGACCCCCTCAATTCCGAGGCGAGGGATTACTTCCTGCTGCCTTGCAGTTCACACTATTTGTACCAAGGCTAGGGGAGCGCCTCCAAGATGGAAAATGCCGAGTGACGCTGGAGACGTCTCTCGTACCAAACTCCCAAGGAACTCCATGATCTTGATCGTCATCATGTCTGGAGCCGGCTTATCCCCTCAAAGGAGCCAGCCGCTGTAAAGTAAGTGGACAGGGATTGGGCCTATTTTGAGGGAGGGGGA